GCTTGTTATGAAGGGAATRCCGACTTTTATTCACAAAGCAATACTTGGTGCTACTACTTGGTGACTACCTCGATTACCACTACCACTACCACGATCACAAACACCATCACCACCATCTCTACCACTACCTTTACTAACTCTACCAGCGGCACTACTTCAGGTCTAATAAAACTTTTGGAATTTGTTTTCATTTTTTAATTTCAGATTTTTCTACTCACAAAGTCACAAAGTCACAAAGTCACAAATTCAACTCAACTCTCGCAATTGGATTACGGCAATGACTTGTTTCTATAAAATATATTCAGTCAAAAAACGAGAAYCCGATTCTCTCAAAAATTCTCACATCAATTTCTTTGAAACCCTCAGGATCTTCAATACTGAATATCTAGTCAAAGTTTAAAAAAAAWTTTTAATGCCCTTCTTGAAAAATAAACTCAATTTCTGTTAAACAAGCTTGATTGAAATATTTCATATTTCCAACTACTTTTGGTGAAGTGTTATTTAATATCTTATCCCATTTTGTGATTTTAAGTGAAGACGTAGCTCGCAACTYCTCCGAGAGACCTTAATAGCTTGATAGCTCAAGAATTATTAATGACTTTTTCAAATTTATTGGTTACATTAGGTCAGCATAGTTGATAGATGTTGGACACGCCTGCAAAGAGCTACCCATGCTAGTTTATCCGCAGACAAGCATTGCGGATTCTCAGATGGCTTACTAAAGKGTTGCGCAACAAATGTCATCAGTGTTCCGAGAATAAGACAAAAACGTATTAAAGCTGGTAGGTATGAAGGTTATGAAATACATAGTTTTTGAGGCCGTATGACCGAAGTCACAAACCAGCCTCTGGTGTCAGGGATAGAAAATCTCACTTGCATGCCAGTGTTTACATTCATATGCGTTTTTATTGGACTATCGTTATWTTCAACGGTGAAAATACAATATATAAAAGTCTCGATATATATAAATAGTAAATTCTTGGTTTGCACTAATCACGTGACATTCTAAAAGTGCTATTTAGAAGCCAAATTAGCGAAATGTTATTATTGTCCTCGATAGAACATCTAATTTAAAGTATCATCACGAACTTTTGAGCCAAAATAATGCTTTTTAACAGAAATACGAGCGATCGAAAATTGGTAAGAATGTATAGGATTATCACGGCTCAATGCGTTTTAGCCAGGTCAAGAAATACCTACAAAAGACTTTGTTTAAAGAACGAAATGAATTTTTTATGTTCAAGGCCAAAAACAGCATATAATTCCCAACAGTTATGCAAAATTTGAAGTCAAACTGCCATTTTGTAGCAAAAATATAAGCGTTTGAATGCGGTCTTACTTTACAAGGGAATGTATGGGAAAGCCCTAATGGTGTACAAGTCCAGTACACCAACCACGCCGACAGTAACTCCGAGTGTCGAAATGAGCTCAAAACTTATGATTTTGCTTCAGTTTTCAAACAATATCATTCTAAAAATTCAATTTAATGCTGAGGCTATACTTGTTTTAAGATTAATAGGCTTTCCGAGGTTAATTTGGCGTGTTTCAAGTCGCGTGACAGTATTGCGTGACATATTTTTGAACGTGAATAACTCAACGAATAAACAGCAAAAAAAGTTGAAACTTTCAGAGAAAACTTCTATCATGCTCTTCAAGGTATTTCAGTACTGTAATGTTGTGTGTCTGTGATTTTAGAATTTTTTTCGACTGATGACGTCATGTGCATTTTATATTATTATTATTATTTATTATGTGCAAACCGAGAATAGCAAATAAGTATAAGATACTTCCTCGAGTTTTGGATAAGACCTTGAAAAAAAAAATTCAGATCACAAAATAAATAGTATTCATTAAACATGAGAGATAATTCAGCGGGTTTTTGCCAGGCTTACCCTGTGGGGTAGGCATTACGAATGGGTCAACAGATTGTGGCTTAGAGTGGCGCTACGTRCCGTAMATAAACTATAAGAAAGAGTAAATACAGCCTCTGGAACCCAGGGTATTGTTTGAGCTCGACTTKACCACATAGAGAGCTAGATTCTCTGATTTATTTGAAAGCAAGGACTTGGTGGAACTATTTTGGGAAATAGGCAAATCGCGAGTGACGTCATGCTTAAAAATAGACTATTTTTCTACATGACTTTACTTCTACGTCAAGCTAATGATTTTAAGAATTTGATTTTGTATATTTTAGGAACTTGCAAAAAAGCTGAAACCACTAGAGGTATTATTAAAGAATGCAATGGCGAATATAGCTGGCAAAACGAAGATACGCGTCGTTATGATCCTGCGTGGTCTTTCAATTCAAACCATAAAGAAAACTACAATAAATCTACACAAGAGATTGCTTGGATTTACAGAAGTGCCAAAGAATTACGGACGTATCCGTACATTGCGCTTATTAAAACTTATACGGGGGGAGGATATGCCGTCGATATCAATGGAACRYCTAATCAAACATTAAGCTTTCTTCAGAGGCATTCTTGGATTGATAGATATACTAGAGCAGTGTTTGTTGAAATGAGCCTTTATAATGTGCCTACAAATCTGTTTGTGGCTGTTTCCTTGGTGACGGAGTTYTTACCAACAAATGGAGTTGTACAAATTGATGACATAACAGTGGTTCAACTGTATCGGACCGAGGACTGGCTGAGTTTTTTGGTTCTTGCATGTGAACTGTTAACCATGGTTTTTCTGGTTTGCTCCATTTACARAGAGTGCAAAAAAATCTTCGTAATGAAGAAGCAGTACTTCAGAAATCCCTGGAATTGGCTAGAGGTTACTATTACAACTATGGTAGCAGTTTCATGTGTCATAGTTRTCTTACTAGAAGTTGAAAAGTCTATCTCATTAGAGAGTGCAAAACCAAAGAATTATAGGTTTACTTTGAATTTCGTCAATATCAGAACAGCTGCAACACTGGAAGAACTTTACATTAGCTGCCTTGGTATTCTTATATTTGTTAGTAACTTGAAACTCTTAAAACTGATGAGATTCAATCATCGAATTGTGGTTCTGTCAAGAACTTTGTCCCTTGCYGCACCTTCCTTGCTATCCTTTTCAGTTGTGTTTCTCTTGATATACATTGGATACGCAAGTGTCTATTACCTTACGATCGGACCATTTTCWAAAGACTATCATTCATTTTTTACAACACTTGAAACACTTTTTGCAACAATGTTAGGTGGCTTCGACTTTGATGTGATGGTCAGACARGTAAACTTTATAGGCCCATTTTTCTTTTGTACCTTCATGATCTTCATGGTGATGATATTGATAAATATATTCTTAGCAATTATTATTGATTCGGCGGCAACAGCTCGTAATGACGAGGCACTAAAGAAAGAAGATATGCAATTAATGACATTTGCAGCTGTTAAGTTTAGAGAAAGAATGGGCATAAAYACTGATTTGTTTGAGTCAAGAAATGTTGAAAGTGGCCATGATGAGCAAAACGATCCTGAGGTGGCGTCTTCCAGAATAAAGTCCCCACGTCCACASAACAACGGTAATCAAACATTAACCACTCAAATACCCCAAATTCAAATTAATACTGTTGAAAATAGACAACAAGATTATATTAGAAACCACTCGCCCTCTTTACCTGCCTTTACTTTTGAATCTTCATCATCCTCATGCGAAACTCCAAATGCTCACTTTAAACCACTTTCAGTTAATATCAAACCTGTAAAGTCTGGAAATAGGCACATGGCAGATATATCCACTTTGAGCGGATCAMGAGTAAGCGCAGACTTTGGACTGGATATTTTAAGCACATGCAGTTCTTCTGAGTCACTGTCTGTGCCAGATTCTCCTAAATTGCATAAAATACAGGACAAATCACAAAAAGATTTAGTCAGGATCAGAACTGCTTCTTATGAAATGCCAACCATCACACAGGTAACTGTTAAACAGAATGAAGGTACTAGGAGAGGCTCAATATCAGCACCTAACTCTCCACTATTATCTAGAGCGAATTATTCTGATCTTAGACGTCAAACCTTAGATAAATCATTTTGTCAAATGCTAAGCAGTGCAATTACCYCTAATAACGTACCAAGGCATGACAATTCAGAACTAACCACAGATGAAAAAACATCAGCAGCTGGACTATCGGCTTCAGTACCAAGCTCTCCACAATTTGTTAAAAAAWGTTTTTCCAGATCTAGCGGATGGTCAGAGCAATCTTCATCCGGCGATGACTGCACCAAGAACAGTTTATTGAAACCACAAATGAATTTCAAATCTGCTTCTACATCAAAATCTACACCTGCATCTCCCAATTTGGCGATCGGGAGGTATTGCGATCATCATTCAAAGTCAATGAACACGTCTCTTGACTCTGGATCTCAAGCAAATTCCTTGAATACTWGTGCGATTAATAGCTCGTATGCCAAAATCAGTAAAAGCACTTGCAATTTATCTTCATCTAAAGAATATGAATCCAGTGGTTTGCTTAATTCTAACTTCAACCCAAGTCGAGATACGTTATCCAGCCGGGAAAAGCTTTCAAAAAGTCTGGTAGAGTTACCCAGAAAAGGCTACGAGGATACTCTTGGCCTTTCTACATTTCAAAGGTCATTAAGAGCTTCATCTCCCAAAGAAAGCCCTTATTTGTTCAGGCGRAATCTTGATATTGGATCGACACATTCTATTAACGCCATTGGAAGATATTCTGTGCCAAGTAGCCCTCTTCCAGAACGACGAAGGCTCCAAAATGATTGTTCATCTCCTGTTGTATTGACGCAAGCAAGCCTACGTTTGACAACAAGTCTAGCAACAATGCAGCATCACGAAGATTGCATTCTTAAAGAAATGACCAATAATAGGACAGTTAATAAAATTATGGACGAAGTCAGTGATCAGGAGACGCAGTCTAAGAAAAATCTCGATGACACAGCTGCATTGCATACAGTGAGCACAATCGACAAAAAACTAGAAATAATGTTGAAACTGTTTGTTGAAATTTGCCTGGACGAACTTGTTTGTGACAAAATTGTCGAGAAACTTATTACGAGGAGCGTGACTGATTTATTTGATATCGAAACAAGGTATTGAAAAGTGATGGAGCATTTTTTATCCCTTACTTTTATTTGAATACATGACTTAGTTAACTAATATTATTACCTTTCAATAGCAGATGAAAGAACCATTATGCGGAGATTATTGAAACTTCAAAACCCGACTGACATAAATAAATGTAAATATTGCAAGAGATCTCAAGTACAAGTTAGTTTCAAGCGCTTGAGGATCAGCTCGTTTAGTTTGGGAACTATATTCTTAATTGTTAAACGGAAAGCCTTAAGAGCATTGGATTTGCAGTTAATCTTTTTTGCAGTCGACTTGTAAAACTTAGCCAGGTCACGAGCATCATCACAAAGAAGCTGCTTTGGTGTTAATATTTTCTTGTCGAGATAATATTTCTTGCTCAAAAGATGGACAAGTTTTGCACATTTCTTGTCATCGTCATCATCAATGCATGCGTTTTCTAGAAAATAAACGGAGCGTTTAATCAATGACATAAATCGCTTGATTGCACCTCCTCGGGATTTTGATAGAATATCATGAATATATTCATCTTGACAATTCATTTTTTTGTCAATTCCTAATGATACGAAATATCGAATTAAAATCAGAATTTATAATGCAATTGGTACTTACCAACAGAGTATGYGCTGTATTTCTTATATAAACCTAGGAAGGAAAGTGTATTTGTTGTGAGAACAGCCCTTTTCGCGGCTAGAAAACAATTTGCACGAGGAACCTGTAATTTTGCAGAAAGGCTAGGCAAAATCGGGAAAAACCAAAAATTAGCCCATTGAAGGCTTGTTTATCGCTTTGCAATATTATGAAATAATTTTTGTTGTTGAAAAGATCACAATTTTTGCCGCCAAAAGGTCTATCAGTCGTGATTAGATATATCGGGGATGATGAATGAGATCAACGCTGTCCCTAAGGACAACCACACAGTCTGTAGTTTCGGGAGAGTAAAATTCAAGCTGTAGAAAAAAAATTATAGTGTTTAGAAAGAGGTTACTCCGGTTGTTCCTCGGAGGTCGGAAATTAATTTTTCTRAATTTACTTCCAAGGGTCTTTCTCCCGGAATAACCTATGTATCTCAAAGTGCCATGCGGTCCTCATATTCATACAATTCAAGTTGAACCTGGGAAGTAGTCAAAAATGAGTATAATCATATCAGGAAGTACTAATTGACTGGGTTTCGTCTAGGCTMCTCGCAGCCCTTTCTGGTGGGGAGGGATTAAGGAGACGACGCCGGAAAAGTTTGGCTATGCCGGCATACGAGAACTATTTGTCTCTTGGYCTCGTTCAGCTTTATCTTTGAATTGAGTGATTTTTATCCTTCACATGTTTTTTTTTCCTTATGGCTCTCTCAATAAAAAAAAACATATAGTTTCAAAAAGTTACACTATCGAAGCTAACGCTGAAAGGTAGCATGGTTGGTTGTTCAGATTCGCTGAAAAATTCATTTTATTACTGACACCTGTTTTCAAAAACTTTTACCCAAATAACGTAGAAAGAAAAATAATGATGAAAAATAATTAGATTATTGACATTTAGCCAGGCTTCTTTGAKTTTTACCAATAGGTCTTCTACGTACGACTACTCTGGCTTGGCTTTCTACTTACAATAATATACGAATTCGATTAATTCTTTTTCTTTTTTTTCCCTTAATTTCATTTGGACCAATGCTTTGGCGAACAGGGGTATTATCATATCATCATATTATCATATTATGAATTTATAATCMAGCGGTTTCTCACTTGTTGCTAAAACGGCATTTCTCAACTGACTATAATCGTACTTATGACACAGATTAACATGGATGTCAAACAGTGCATGCTCAAAAAGGTAAAATCTCATGTGATCAAGCAGTTGTCCTGACGTTTGTGGACTGGCTCCAAGGCAGGTACTGGTATTCTAAAAATTCATCAGAAGATATGGTTAATTATATATCATTYATCGCAATGAAAATCATCCACTGCGCTAGAAACATTTAATACATTTGTACCCGATTGGAATATCTTTCTTCACACGAATGAGAGAAGACTGTGAATGCGCCAACAATCATATGCGATATATGAATCCAAATCTTTAACAATTAGAATTATAGTCGATTTAAATAAGAATTTTAACCTTGAGGAAAAAATATTCACTTCATTGATAATAAATTAATACCATTATGGTAGAACAGTGGTTCTGGATATTTTGCGGTTTGGCTGCTCCTTGGTTGTACACGTTGAAACACTTCAGGAACAAGTCACCAGCAACAAGGCAAGTTGTGAAACTACACATTAGCAAGACTCCAATTAAAAGGTTCATCCTGAAAAAAAGGAAAGTGCAGTTGGTGTAAGACGTAGGAAATCGTGAAATACCCAAAAGACAGGTCTCTCATAATGTATGCTCGCGAAAAAAAGGAAAAAAAGAAGAAAATATTCACGCAAATTAATGCTCATGCAGGAAAAGTCAAGTCGATAATACCTTCAATTTTAACAAAACGTTTTTGTTCATCAATTTTACTGAAAGTTGAACAAGTCATCAGCGGAAATTTCAGTCAAATTATAGAAAACTATTGTCGAATAGTCCACTTAGAATAGAATAGAATAGAATAGAATAGAATAGAACAAATAATACGGAAACAGTTAAATTCTCGATCAACTTTCAAATCAGTAATATTTCTATCACATCCGATCTTGTAATTTATCTCGGTTTAATGTTCTTGTAATATTGTTTACAAAGCAGACAAGAATCAATTAACTGCATGATTATATGATTATTGAAGATGGTTTTGATCACACTGAACAACCATCTTAACTTGTAATGCATATGTTTCAAGAGCACGACTTCAAATAAGCTCAAATTTTCTTATCATTTCTCGTGAATACGCACTTACGTTCAATTGAGAACGTTCTATTTATGTGATCATAAATCCAAAAGGCACGAGAGTCACTTTGACTAWTTTTTTAAAAATTTCAGTATTATACCATAAACTAAGGAACCGTCCTACCTTCTAAATCTTCTGAATTTAAGTAACCAGTCTTGAGTGTGTGTTGAGTAAAGGAAGCAGTTGTTGGTCATATGTATAACGCAAAACATATGCTAGCACCTCTTTTGTTCCATATGTAAAAACATTCATTAATTAAATCAACCAACCGCGTACAAGGAACCATGGTAATAAATGTTTCAGCAAACAATACCAAAAAATAAATGACTTCGTCCACTGACAAGAGAAAACTAAAGAAGCTTCTGCTCTAATTTTGTAATCCTGGGTTTGTTTGGACTTATGAGACAAATTTAGGTTTAATTGTTGAGAGAATATTAATTGAGTTTTGCTAGCTGTGCTTGTACAAGCAACATATTTAATCCAGCAAGATGTAAACCTGTCAATCAAAATAAATTAACAAAAGTCAAATCGTTCTTAGGCAGTCCTTATTTATACCTTTTATCAAATAGCTGAAGTATACGAATAGTTTCTTTTTTCGAATTTATCTAATACAATGTAAAGTCAGTAAAGATTACATAAAAGGCAATCAATATATAAATAGGATAAAAGCAGAAACTTGTATGCGATATTGAAAATTATCTAATTGATACATATATAAATAGTCAAATATAGAATGGAGCTAGGAAATTGGAAACGTTGTATTTTTCGATATTTATCCAATCTTATCTTTTTGTACTATTCTAAAAAGTCTTTGTTTGTTAATTGTTCCTTTGACGTCTTGGGGACAGAGGTATAGCACCTATATTTATCTTATAAAATATCTTAGATACTGCGCACTCTCTGATTGGCCGAAAACTGTGTTTGCATGATAGTATGTAAACATGGTTTGAATTCAACATCGAACAACATGCGTTTTGAAAACTATAATCGACCAAAAATCAGCTCTTCAAACAAAAACTTATGGCAAATCGTAGATATGAGACATTCTGCATGAATTGTGATGAATTTCTTGTTTCTTGTGCGTTAATTCACTTTCCTCAAATGCGCGCGATATTTTTCATTAATTCTTCGAAAACGAAGGTGGTATTTCCTTTTAATATCATTCCTACATAAAATATTTGATTCTTTACAGTTAAATCATTGCGAAGAAGTAGATAATAGCGCGGAAATATATACACCCTTTTAATAAGTCTCAAGGTATTGTGTTCTCCGCACTTGACGTCAAATTGATTCTTTTGAATTCCTTTTGTATTGTAAAAATTTCAAAAGAAAAATTTGACGTCAAGTGCGGAGAACACAATGCCTCGGGACTTATTAAAAGGGTGTATAGCACACAGACGTGTCATTACAATAAGTTTTTTTTTTCTTTTTCCATCAAATAATTTTGATAAATTAAAGCAATTGATTAGCAAAACATCAGGTTCGTCAATCGCTGCGAACAAATTATCGAAGTTATCTCCAAAAACATCGTTTATGCTAACAAACATATAATAAAATATTATAGAAAATGTACATAAGCCGCAAAAACATCGTTTATGCTAACAAACATATAATAAAATATTATAGAAAATGTACATAAGCCGCAAAGAGTTCGGGGATAGATTCTTGCAAGTAATTGATAGCACTTGTGGTTGAACAAGTCGAACCTCGAAGTACGGATAATCGAGAGAAGGAAATCATGACGATGAATTTAATAGATACATATGCATTTTTTTCAACTAAGTTTTATTCACATTATATATTTACGTTAAAAATGTTATTCTTATAATGTTCATGTCCACTCCATTCTAAAATGATTTAACACGCTTGTTTGTTTCAATGATCGATTTCAATATAGGCGATTTGCGCGATGGCGTACTAAATAGACCAGAAATTCAAAAATATTGCGTAATAAAATGACGCATCGTGCAGATACAGCAATAAACAATACATCTTCGTGAGTTACTGGTGAAATAAGCCACGCGGGATGTTGGAAGAACACGAAAAAGGCGTAACAAACATCAAGCCGTAGGCGATGGATTTTCAGCCTTTTGAGTGTTTTCCCAATATCCCAAGTGGTTTATTTCACCAGGAACGCACGAGAATGYATTGTTTATTAAACAACACATAGCTATAATATAATTAAACAATAGAGTAGCTGAATCGAGGGCATTATGTTGCGATAGTTGCTTGCGAAAACAGAGTTTCCCGAGAACGTTGTTCGAGTGCCATTATGAAGTTTTGAGTAACATCCATTTTCCTAGGGCAACTATAACTGCATAATGCCTTAGATTTCAACTGCTCTATTGTTTTTAGTAATAAACAAAACAAAATTTAAGCGGCGTGCTCTATATGCACTGATAGTAGCCCTCCGCGGCGGGGACTATCGCGTCACRTGGTCGACTCTCCACCAATTAGAGAGGAGGAAAATTTGTTGTCGAATTAAACCAGTACATAATATCTCAATGTACTTTGTCATTTGCGAAATTAAGATATATTACTTTCTTGTAGTTTTCTGAGGTATCCCGATTACGGGACGGTCTGCACCTTATGAGTGGCTGAGAAAACAATGGACAAAACTATAAATTAAAATCTAAAGGCTGATTTACACGGTACGATTTGTCRCGCGCGACTTGTAGTATACGACTTGAATCGCGCMGTGTAAATGCCCCTACGACTTGTCTACAACAGTCGTACGCAACCTACGACTTGTAGTAGGGTTTTGAACCACTGCTTAAAATCCTACGACTTGTAGTAGGAAAATCGTATACTACACGTCGCGCGCGACAAATCGTACCGTGTAAATCAGCCTTAACAAAAAAAAGGAAAGTACTATGGACTCAAATTACGTCTCGATGGGTGAAGTATTTCGAAAATCTGTACTACAATTTTTTAAAAGCGTTCCTGGTTTCGCTGGCGATAAGGGAATTACAAATCGATGGCTTACTGGAATTATTAATTATTTACAATTGCTATAGAGACTGATTTCGTAAGATTATATTATTGTTACAGTATTCTAAAGCAAATGAAGTTATTAATTTTAATATACCATTTAAAAATGGTCGGCGGGTTGCTTGTCGAGAATTCGAGAATTTTAAAAATGACTCCAAAGGTTTATGCAGGTTACCATTACAATAAATGATTCTCACCTCACTAAAACATAACCAATTTGTAGTGTTTAAAACTACTGGCTATCATTTTAATCATCTCATCTCATTTTTTTCAGTTCCATCTATTAATTTTTGGTGAAGTAAAAAAGAAAAAACAACAAAAATATAGCAACTGATATTATTGTAGTTCTATAAAGAAGGTTCTAAATTCTAGAAGGTCCCAAGTCATATTAATTTTGACCTCAAGAAGGTACGACGATTATCCTCATTCTTTAATAAAAAAGATTATACTTTTTATATTTTTCTTTTCACTTCAAAAACGATGGAAAAACACGCGGCTTGCAATTAAATCAAGCTAGGAGTTCCGGGTACGGTAAAAATATGGTAGACGGATTACGATTGGTTTTCTTCTACATGCCTAGTATACTTATAAATTGCATTTTTTGGCTGTTTCAAATCCACTTTTGAGGCTTGCCAGCTTGTCGCAAAGTCATTTTGGCGTTTAATTTCCCTGTTAAAGTAGTCTCTCTTCAGATTTTTTACATACTGTCTAACCATTTCTTCATAAGCACGATCAAGGACAAGTTCATCCAAGGCAGTGCAGCAAAAAAATGAAGTTATGTCATCCAGTTTTTCTTCTAGTTTTCTCTCTTTGACAATTGGCTTGAATGTTGCTAGAGTTTGGGTAAATTTGAAAGCAGATTTTAACATTTCTATCCGTTTAATACGCAACCGATCCTTTGCTCTTTTAATTGCCTGCCCTAGCACGTCATCTGGATCGCTGTCATCGCCATCGTCATCAGTATCGTTACCGTCATCGYCATTATTAAAGCCTTTAGCATCGTCATAAAAATCAATATTTTTTTTCTTTTCACACTGGTCTCCTTCGTATTCCCCCTCCTTTTCTTCTTGAATACTTGAATCTTGGCTTTCAGATTGAATGTCTTCTATGTCATTTTCGCTCTCGATAGGGAGCTGGCCAATCTTATTCCCYTTTCGACCTCGAAATTTTTCTACTCGAGACAAAAAGTGATCCAATACATCAAGTTCTCCGTCTTTTAAGTGCTCATCGCCTTGTACATCAGCAAATGCATCCATCAGGATAGTCAAAAATGTATTCATCAGTATCATTACCATGATCATCATGAATGAAAAGAACAGTAAGGGACCATAAACCCTATCAGCTTCTTCCATGCTGTTAAAATCAAATCCACCAAGTAAGATGTTAAACAAAGATTTGATTGTGCTTGTCATTGACTTATATTCAACCATGATAGTCCCAAAAATCAAGTAGTATATACTGCAGAAAGCAATATAGAATATGAAGAAGACCAACATAAACGACAGGAGTGGGTCGCTTGCAGTCGACAATGTCCGAGTGAAGAGAAAAACACGATGGTTGAATTTGAACAGCTTCAAAAGCTTTAAATTAGCAACAAAGACGACAAGACCAAGAAAATAAGTCAGAAGCTCATCAAAAGTAGCAGCTTGGATAAGGCTTACAAATTTGTCTGGATTTTTTTGCATTTCACTGATTGCTTTAGTTGTGGACTTTGATCTTTGATACAGAGAACCAAGACATCCAAAAATAAATACAATCATGAAAACTTCCATCCAATTCCACACATCTTTAAAATACTGCTTTCGTTCTTTTAATACTTTCTTCGATTCTCCGTAAATAAATATCATGAGAAATAGAACCATGAATAGCTGACAAACAGTTGTTACTGTCTGTGCTGCGTCTGTTGGTATGAAGAGACGGGCTGCTTTCACATTATCAAAATAAAGAACACCATTTGTTGGCATCCATTCAGTTAAAAACGTTGCGATGCCAAACATGTCTACTTGTGCATTGTATACACTCACTTCCACAAATAATGCTCTTGTTCTTTGATCGATCCAGTTATTTGTCTTTAAGTCATTAATCCCATCTCCAGTACTGTGAAGCTCGGTAATATATCCTCCACCACTGTAAGTAGATAAAATCCCAAAGTATGGATATCCTCCTATATCAAACATTGATTGGTATGTCCAGGGATCTGGTTCGTTTCTTGTTTTGTTGGTAGGTATCCATCCTTTAAGATAATTACTTTTGTCCTCACTCAACATAGAATAAAAGTCATTGCATGTGCTTGAAACAATTTCCATACCAGGTGGAATTTCGCAGCTACCTGTATAATGCAAAAACATCTTTCATTAAGACATGTTCAGCAGCCGAGCAAATGCAGTTTTTTTATTGGGGAAATGGGCAACTYGAATTTTAATCCCACAACGTTTTACGATATCTTAATAACTAAGGTAGGTAAGGAAGTTTAGGGGAATTCCTGCAACAAATAATATACGGACAACAGAATAGAGAACTGGGGATTATGGAGGAATTGCTAAGTCTTTGTCAGAGACAGAGACAGAAACAGAGAGAGACAAGGGACAGCATAGATCACACCTACACATGAAACTGAGGTCAGGAAATGGCAATATTTCTTCGACTTCGTCGCATCATTTTTATATGTAATACAACCCCATGCTGTCTMATTAAGAAACAATGTGACGAACAACTTCCGAGGATTGCCAAAATTGGACGAGGCCGTAGTTTAGCTTGGCAGTATTAGGACTTTTTCGATTCAGTAAAAACGTTTTTTTTTGCTTACATAAATACCCTAACTATTATTTTGCTTTTATTGTTTCTTTTGTGTTGTTGGGATGTAACTCATTTAGTCTCTCCATCTCTACAAACAGACAAATGACTAGTACCCGGTGGAACACGAAGCTGCCTCAGGCGTGCTGTTCCAATTATTCTTGTGTTACAGTCGATGGAATAGTTCGACGACGGTTCACAAAACGGAACCCAGCTTCGATTCGCCGCAGATAGGCTTGGTAGTACAGTCGACTCCAGCCAAGTCCAGTAATTTGAGGTTCCATCGTTCTAAAATATTTCATAAAAGTTATAAAAAAAGAGGAAAATGTATTTTATATTCACTTAATTTTAATTTATATTTCATTACCTGACTTAATCCATTTCCAGCATAATTTCCACCTATATAAGAATCTATCAGATTTTGCGCCACTGCAAACGCTTGTGGATCACGATGGCTATAGCTTACAACAAGAAGCGACGTGAGAAAGAATACATAGATAATCATATCTTTGATGATAGCGTCCATTTGAATCTCCCGGAGCTTTTTCGTTCTTGCCTCATCAAGTTGTTCTTTACTAGGCGGAAAAGTCACCTTCGTCTTTGTAATGTCGTATTCGTAGTTATTGGTTTGCTGAGGATTGTCATCTTTTCTCTCATTATCATAATCACTTTCGTCTGGCCTTTTAAGTACTAAAGCATAATACAATGAGATAAAAGCAACACGAAAGACGTTGATAATAACGATGTCTTGAAATATAATTAGAACAAAAGATGTCAGCCATTGGGCTGCCAGTTCTTCGTCATATTGCTCCCCAAAGTGTGCAACAAAGTATGCTGAGGCCGATGATAAAGCTAAGAAATAAAACCATGCCAGAAATATAAAATGATATGGAAGTTTTATCCTCTTTCTTGCATTTTTTCTTTTTAATGCTTGGCCTGACTCTTCATTAATACCAATCGTTACCATTGGGGAATTTACTATTCCATCATCATGCAATGCACTCAGCACTGCCAAAGTTTTTTCATCCATTTTTTTCTTACATAGACCAGAGCTTTGTAAATGTTCTTTGGAATCAACTTCGTGCAGCTTTGTCTCTGATTGTCCAGCTATTCTATACCAGTCAATAAGTTCTAACAGGTCTTTGCCATTTGAAAGGAGTGGCGCATCCTTCAATTTGTTGTCATCGTCATCGTCATCACTTTTTGCTTTTATACTTCGAAATATTCCGACCATGACTTCATTAATAGGAAGCAATAATAAGCCGCAAATAAGCGTCACATAAATTTGATGAGGAGAAATCCGAAGTGGTCCGATTGCCATTGTGATGGATGGATCCGCTTGTCCCCAAACTTTGTATAAGAACGAATTGATGAACATCGCACAATAGATGTACATTAAACAGCATGATAGTCTTTGAACTCGAGAAAATCGACTACGAGAGGGTCTTGTGAATACGGATAACCAGAGATGTCCTTCTGTCAATCTATTTCGAGCAACACTTGTAAACAAATGCTTGAACGATTCTACCTCTTCTTTCTTTGCCACTGGCAAATTCCTTTTAACTTGACCATCATGATGCTCAACAGCCAACCATTGGTTGCACATGAAATAATATAATTCATCTTTTAGAATGTCTCGAATTGACACCTTGATCAAATACCAGGAGGGGTCGTCCCCGTCATTATTGTGCCATATCTCCAGATAGTTAAGTCTTCCCAAATGAAGGGGTGTACAGAGAAGAAAAACATCTACAGCCGATCTTTGAAATCTTTGTCGTTCAATATCATGCAACGCTCTTACAGAGGTTTGACCATCTTCTCCTTTTATGATGCAACACACATTTGCAGTGCTTCCAGCATTTTTACTGAGGCCAGTAAAAACTTTTATCTCATATTTAAATTTAAATTTTGGATGGTTATCCATGAGGTGTACAACATCGTCCTAGTAGCAAAGAAAGGATTACTTAATATAATTTAAGTGATATTTACAATAAGCTTGTTTCTATTGATAGTTGGAAGTCTTCTCAAAACAAGCACATTGACCTTTGAAAGTACCTTTTCATGTCAACTTACTTTTTCTTTGTCTTTCATGTCCTTGTACCAAGCCCAAGCAAACAGTAAAGCATATAAGCAAAGTACAAGGATAACCATTATCATAGCAATAGGACTCAGCTTTTTGATTGGTACTGTGAAAATGATAGGATCAAATCCAAGTTCGCTCTTCATGATGCTGACTAATGAGCCAAAGGCTCCAAAACGTTTACACAAACAATGAGTCTTCTTTAAGGATGTTTTTGGACCAACCTATGAATTCCAAACGAATAGCCATTAGCATTTTTATGCTATCATCTGTCGAATTGCATGGGGTGAGACTTACAAATTTGATTAATCGTAAACTATTTCAATTGCACTCGTTGTTAAAAAAAAAAAAAAATGTCTGGCATTGGCCTATAGGGGTAAGTGGAGCAAAGAACTGTGGTTTGAAAGCCATCACGTCTTCGATTACCTTGCGATAATATACTGTTTATGTCATTTGAATGGAAACAAAAACGTTTTCTAACCTTACATCCATCAGAAATGAATGCTTTCTTTTTATTATTCCAGAAAAAACACGCAGACTGATAAATGCCAAGACTATAGGATATATTAACTTGATCGGCTTTCCAAAGCTCCTCAAYCTCATCAGAAAGGTCCATTTTTAAGTAGATCTTATACAAACCAGTTTCTCTGTAACGGTTTCTTGACAATTGGAGCACGTATATTGTGTCTGTTTCATTTGAAGAATACACTGTTAAAACAGGCGGTTCTCCAGATAGCACTTTTTCACCATAGACAACATACATATACCACTTTATCAGATAGGAAGAATTTGGTAGAAATTCAATATTTACAGCGGTTTCTGGTGACGTCCAATTAATTCTATGAAATCTAGTAGTTCCGTTTAGGGGATCTACGTAGTAACGCTCAGAGAAATTGCTAGCTGGCAGTGCTTGAGGAGAATGTGATATGTTGACTTGAATGAATTCTTTTGTATTCGTAATGTCATGGTTTGATCCATTAGCTTGTAGAAGATTGAAATGAAGAAGACCGGATATCAGATCTTCGGGAGATTCACAAAATTGGTAAACATTGTTATATTCCATTATCTGCGTAAAAATGAAATATTATATTATTAAGTATAAGTGAGGACCACATCCAAACTTTAAATTTAAGAGTAATTATTTGATTGTATTTGATTCTTGGTTAGATGGGATAAAATCAGTTTTTATTAGGATAAATATACAAATAATGAGAATTAATTATTACATAGGTAAAAGAAATCATACACTGTTTTTTTCCACGAATGGAGTAAAAGTTACTCCGAGTTAATCTACTCTTCAATGCGAGTAGTTTTGAATCAAGAGGTTTTTAAATCAATTCGGAAAGAGAGTCAAATTTCTCCGGCAAAACGGGTTCATAATTGGCCGATAACAAAACGAGCAGGGGCCTGGAACTGAAAATTTTAAAAAATGGTACAATCTTACAGAAATCTGTTGTCGATAGACAAAGCAGTTATAAATTAGCTAAAGTTTAAAGTTTGAGCAAGTTTAAGTCATTAGAATTGGGAATATAATTTTTCAAAAATTTCGAAAATTA